CCTGTGTTCTCTATCATTTTCGTAATGCTTGTCGTTCTCGTAATGAGCGTGGTTTTTATCGTACCGGTAATATTTGTGTTCTTCATCGTTCTCATAATGTCCGTGTTCTCTATCATTCTCGTAATGCCCGTGTTCTTTCTCGTTCTCATAATGTCCGTGTTCTCTATCATTCTCGTAATGTCTGTGTTCTTTCTCGTTCTCGTAATGTCGGCCTTCTTTCTCGTTCTCGTTATCTCCTTTCGATCCTATTTCGCCGTTTTCACTGTTTTGCAAGACAGACTCCTCCCCATATTTTCTGACAGGCTTCAAAACCGCTTCCGGGTCCTCCCGCGCACGTAGCGCCTGTCTCTGCCAGTCAAGGATCCGTTTGGTGCACCAGAACCTCAGTCCTACCCGTCTGACGTACAGCGTGTCCGGCGGGCGGCAGGAGACATCGGCGGGCGGACGTGGCTTCTCCTTCGGTCGAACCGCATCAGCTGAGGCGACTTTCATCTCGTAAAAGGGCTGTCCTTGCTTCTCTGTGTCTTTGGCATTGGTGACGTCCATCTTGTAAAATGGTTGTTCGTGTTCTTCATCCGCAGGGGCGATGTCCATTTCATAGAACGGTTGAGCTGTGGCATTTTTGATCGCATCTTGTGTTGCCAGAAAGTCGCGGTCTTTCTGTTCAACCACCACAGGGGCAGGCACTGGGTGAAGAGAAGCAATAAAGTGTATCGGTGTAAAAATAAGTAACAAGAAACTGCCTAAATTACAAGTAAGTCATCGCATAGCCCAAGTAAAAAAAAGTAAAAAAAAAGTAGGAAGATTAAAAAACACCGATGTCCACTAAAACACCTAGAACATGTCCGACTTGAATGGGTCATTGTGACAATCGGCGTTTAAATTGCCCAATGTGTTGCCAATGATTCTCTACACATGAATGGTAAACATGCAAGCCAGAAAAAACATGAAAGACATATTTGTTCACACTGTACATTGCGTAGAAAATGCCACTTAGTTTACAATAGTGGGTTGTTGTATGATCAAAACCAAACACATGTGCGCTACTCTATGGTTACGTTTTGCATTAACTTGCAATTGTGTACGAACAGGTTTTTCAAACATATGTCTCTTTAGCCCATAATTCGTATACATTCATTCATTCAGTCGCAGAGCGTTACCTGCTCCGTATACTCCGTGTACTGTCGGATTTTCATCATACCTACTACGCGAGCTGTCGGATATTAAGTCGGCGTCACGTAGCAGGCAAATAACTCTGCCGACAAGTCTGCAAGCTCAAAGGCACTGGAATGCGACCGGTATCCTCTTGATCATTGTTCGATTCGTAATCAGTATCGCCGGTATAACCTCCCTTCGGCGTAACACACCAGCTTTGCTGGTACGCGGCGCGACGGCAGCTGGCTTAGCTAGATTTCACCGAACGACTTGTTAAAGCCAACCTTTGCATCTACCTACAGGAGTTGTTTAAAGCTATCTAGTGATGATGCCCAACTATATATACTTGCCTTTTTGACGCCAGCCTAACGGTCGCAATTGATAACTGCATGACAAATTGATACTGTCTGGTCAATCTGATACTGTCTTTGCAACCCAGCCACCAGAAGATCTGCTTGGAGATTAGGTCACTGACAGAGTGACACGAACGTTATAAAACAGTTGGAATTATCAAGGGACATACTGAGTCTGGTGCAGCTGTAACGTTATAACTAAGTCATTTTACAACAACAACAACAACAGCTTCTTTCCCCGGACTGCAAAACTATGGAACTCTCTTCCAAACAGATGCTTTCCATCCGACTACAATCCACAAAGCTTCAAAACAAAGGT